AGTAACTGAGTCAGTGTCTCCTGTGTTTGACAGAAACATCCAGAACAATCCTCTTCACGCTGTCGGACCCTCGTCTCTCCAGCTGCTTCCTGAGCTCAGGACTCTGTACGTGTCCTCTGTCCTCTGCACATCTGGATCTAACTCCTGCTCATGAGATGATGGAGTCTGTGTCTGTGGTTCATCCTCCTCCACTGTCTCACAGCTGTTCGTGTTTCTGGAGCCAGTGTCACAGTTTTTTATACAGAATTTGTCCCAGACTCTCGTCACAAAGTGATTCACAATCAAAATGAATAAACTCAACTGAAAGAATTAAAATCTAAATATATCAAATAAACTAGAGTCACCTCCTCGTGGACGTATCCCTCCGCCACTCAGACTAGTTCCAGGTCACTTCCTGTTTATCCAGAGTCAGAGAAAACATGAACTAGGCTATTTGTGTGACATTTTGCATAATTGCTGTGTGAAGTCTTGAGTAATGGCTAAAAATTGTTTTGTGAGGTCACTGTAAGCTTGACCTTTGACCCCCCAAATGTAACCAATTCATCCTCGAGTCCAGTTGAACGTTTTGACCAAATTTGAAGAAGTTCCGTCCTCAAAGTCAAAAACAGGATTCAATTGTAAAATCCTAGAAAATTGTCCAATGGGCAAAACTCAGAGGAAAAAACACATTTAAAAAGATATAGACAGTTTTCTACTGCTGAGTGTTTGTGATGAATCCTCATCTTTGTCTCTGTCTGTGTCTCTGTCTGTGTCTCTGTCTGTGTCTGTGTCTCTGTCTGTGTCTTTGTCTCTGTCTTTGTCTCTGTCTTTGTCTGTGTCTGTGTCTGTGTCTCTGTCTGTGTCTTTGTCTCTGTCTGTGTCTCTGTCTGTGTCTCTGTCTTTGTCTGTGTCTGTGTCTGTGTCTCTGTCTGTGTCTTTGTCTCTGTCTGTGTCTCTGTCTGTGTCTCTGTCTTTGTCTGTGTCTCTGTCTGTGTCTTTGTCTCTGTCTTTGTCTTTGTCTCTGTCTTTGTCTGTGTCTTTGTCTCTGTCTGTGTCTGTGTCTTTGTCTGTGTCTCTGTCTGTGTCTTTGTCTCTGTCTGTGTCTCTGTCTGTGTCTTTGTCTGTCTCTGTCTGTCTCTGTCTGTCTCTGTTGTGTCTCAGGTCTCTGAGAGGAAGCAGCATCACAGAGTTGACAGACGTCACTGGAACCAACCCACTGGAAACCCTGTGAGTGCGTTAATGAGCAGTTTATTAAAGACACTTTAATCCAAATACAACTTCAACACAGACGCATCACACTCAGGTAACAACACACACCTTGATACATACAGCAGACATGTTTGAGTCTTCTCTCTCTCTCTCTCGCTGTGTCTCTCTCTCTGTCTCTCTCTCTCTCTCGCTGTGTCTCTCTCTCTGTCTCTCTCTCTCTCTCGCTGTGTCTCTCTCTCTGTCTCTCTCTCTCTCTCGCTGTGTCTCTCTCTCTGTCTCTCTCTCTCTCTCGCTGTGTCTCTCTCTCTGTCTCTCTCTCTCTCTCGCTGTGTCTCTCTCTCTGTCTCTCTCTCTCTCTCGCTGTGTCTCTCTCTCTGTCTCTCTCTCTCTCTCGCTGTGTCTCTCTCTCTGTCTCTCTCTCTCTCTCCGTCTTTCAGAGTTTCAGAGCTGCAGGTGAATTTCTGCTGCTGCGTGTTTCTTCACTGTGTCCAGTCCTTGACCCTGGAGGACACTGAGGACACTGAGGACAGCAGCAGTAAGAAGACTCACATCTAGTCTGAGACATTACCCACAGTCCTTTGTGTCGGTCAGGGTTAGGGACACTGAAAAGTGACAGACCAGGCAGTTGAAGTTAAAAAATTTGAAGAGAGAC